CTCTGTGCCTCTGAGATTACTTTTGCCACTGCTGATGGGAGAATTGTTCTGTATCATTATTGTCTTCCCTTTCAACCTCAGCACATTCTGGAACGCCAAAGGCAAACCACTTGCTGGCTGATCCGAGGTCCTGGCGGTGCTGGTGTGGCAGTGCTCAGAACCTTGTGGCTTGGACCACTCTTTCAGCATTGCCTAAGAGCTTTGTACATGTACCCAGCTCAGTATATTGTCTTTACACATGTGAGACAGAGGAACAGGAAAGCGTTTATGGCCTCTTGGAAAGAAAGTGTCAAGATCCTTGCTCTGAAAGAGTTTCTAAGCTCTGTAACTATTAAACAACACAGAGAGGTTCTTGAGAAATACGAGAAAGGGCAATTTTACTGCTAGTATGAGACCTGTCACTTTATTGACTAATCAGTCTCTGATACTCAAATAGAGAAAAAAAATTGCATGTGTTTGGATTATTTAATGAGGTAACTGTTGACAAAGTGGGGCCTTTTACCGGTTCTGTTAGTGCTATTTTGATCATTAAAGAACTTCAGTTGTTTCTGAACCAGAAGCTGGAACAGGCTTTTTCTCTCACCCTCTTGCTTGCCTGAAGGTTGTTCCAAAGAGAGATGAAATGGTATAATTTTCATTTTGGTTGAGGCAAAGAAGTATTCTCTTACCATAACTCACCAGTTCCAAGCCCATAATCACAACATTTGTGGTAAAACAATGATGACTGTGTGGTATTTCTCACAAATGCTGTAAAAACTCTGTCATCTCATTGGGAGGCCATCTTCCCATGAGATACCAGCCTTTCTCTCTTTCTTTCCTGAAGACTTTCAGACTGAGAACCTGTGGCCTGGAGTCCAAAGTTTTAGCTCCAAAGGCTTGGAGAAAAAAATGCAGCCCAAGTAATCACAGAAAGCAGGTCTCTGTTTCAGAGAGACAAAAGGATCCAGAACATCAAGTGTGCTTTAAGAGTCTCCCTTTCTTGTCTGCTGCTTGCATATGTATTTTTTTTTTCCCCACTAAGCTTTTGTTGAATGAAGGTGTGGCTTTATACCTTGATGCGTAAGTTGTGTGAGCAGAAACAGCAGAGAGCACTGGAGCTTTAATAAGTACTTGGCAAAATAATCATGATGAATGTGCCATGAGTTCATCCATAAGGAACAAAAGTAGCAACATAGGCTAAAGTTATTGCACCGGGGAACCTGCAGCTCACAAGAACATCAGCCAAGAGCAAAATGGGATTGGCGTTGCATGGTGGACCCTGTTGTTCTTTATTTGGGTATGGAGATGAGAGGGCAGTTCTTTGCTCAGAGAGGTTCATGTACAGCCCTCTGTTCTAATTAATTTATCAGAATCTTGAAGTGGGGGTTCAAAGTGCACAGCTTAGAACAAAACATCTTGCTTATAAGGGTGGTGTCCCTGGAGTGGAAAAAATCATGAAAGTGAGCTTGCAAGATCCAGGAGAAGGTAGGGCCTTCTGAAATCTTGGTGCAACTGCCAAGTTTCCTGCAGATCCCAGAAGTGTAGCTTAAATGTTGCTAGATATCTGATAGAAGTTGCTCAATAGTTTTCTTAAAGATCCTTAGGTTGTGTCCTGTCACAGGGCATAGTGTGGCATGGAAATTTATGGTGCAAGGCAGACTGGAGCTCTTGGAAGGGGAACAGAGGTGGTTAATGGTTATGCTAGTTCCCACAGTGGGAGAACAAAGGGATATTTAAATGACATTAGACATAAATACACCACACAATATTACCGAGAGTAAAAGTTTAGTCGGATTCCAAGCAGACTTGGGCATTTATATGTATAATGACAATGTCCAGAGTTGCTGTAAATAGGATTAAAAATAAATTAAGCACATAAACCTTCATGCTTATTAATGAGCTCAGGAAGGAATTTCCCTTTTGGGGGAATTACATCATTGTTCACTACCTGAGCTGTTCTACCTTCTGAAGCATCTGGTCCTGATCACAGGAGGCAGGATTCTCAAACAAATGTACCAGCAGTCTGACCTGTCGTGCCAATGCTCAGCTTACCCTGCCTGGGTAGGATCTTGTTGAAAGGGTTTGAAAAGCTTGTATTTGTTTTTTGGATTTTCTGAGGCCACCTGTGCTGCAGTGTATGTCTGCTTTTCCAGATTCCCATTGGTGAAACAGGACAGCTGTTGTCCAAGTGCCTTTACTGAATCCTGAGAATTGCCTGTTGACATGTCAGCAGCAGCCCACAAAGAGATGGAAAATGTGATGGGCTCATAAGGTAATGCTGTATTGCTCCATAGATTCAAAGGTAGCTCTCTGAGCACCTGAACTCGTGAAGGTAAGGCTTTCCTGCAGCTGTCTTGGTTTTGGTGGCACTGCAGTACCTTACACATTTTTCCTTCTTTCTCTCTTTCCATTACACAGCAGTGCTGTTAGCATCCCTGATTTTCCCCACGGCACAGTGCTGAGCAGCTTCTCACTGCCTTGTAGTTAGTTCTTGGGTATATTTAATCAAAACATGCTGTCTCCCTGATGTTTGAGAACCAGACCTGTTGCTCAGGGTGCTGCCTTGGTTGCTTACTTTTGCAAGTCTGCTGTAGGAATTAAGCACCTCTGCTTTTGCATGAGATTAGGTTGAAATTTGCCTTATAGTTTATATTTCTGTACATGGAGCAACTGGTGTGGTTGTATAACCATTGTATCTTTGGCAAACAAGGAACACTTTCAGTCTTTCAAGCAAGTTACTGAAGAATATTTTTTTCTCTCAAAGCAATTAGGTGAGTGAAGAGTTACACCAAATAATTGAGGCGTGTGTACTTTTAAAACATGCACTGTTTAATCTTTTAAGATTTTCCCCAAGGTACAAGGGGAAGGCTTCCTTGCCAAAATACTGTAATTGAGTTAACATTCTGGGAGGTTTCTGTGTTTTGTTACTGAGCTACAAAGCTTCAGAACTTCTGTTACTGAGCTTCTGCTGGTGTTGGAAGGAAGGAAGATCAAAGTTAGAAGTACCAGCCTGCCAGTAAATTGTCTCTTCAAAAGAAAACTGAAAATTCCTTGGTTGTTTCAGGTGGCAGCCAGCATCAGATCTTTTTGACAACTATTAACCTTTTCCTGCAGTTCTTTTTCTGCATGCAGCAGTGAGCAGTCTGGATGTCTTGTAGTCTGTATGATGTGTAAGCTGATTGTAGACATCTGATTAATGAGTTAAGATGTCAATAATAGATTGAATTATATGTCCTCAGTTAGTTTCTGCTGCTCAGAGAGAATATGAAGTTATGATGGCTATGGAACAGTAAAATTATGGTTTCTGTTTCTTGTATACAGTGATCATCATGATAAAAGATTAAGAATCACTGTGGTGTAAAATAATTGGATGGTATATATAAAATAATTCTGGATGTCCTGACAGCGGGACATTTGTGGCTGCCTCAGCTTTAGTGCTTTTGAAAGCTTTTAAGCTCTTGAAATCTGTGATAGTTACCTTTCCTGAGTAGGCAGTAGGATGGCTCAGTAGCACAAGCTTTCAGGACTGTTTGCCTTCTGAGCACTTTTGAGGGTAAGGACTTAATCAAGAGTTCAGAATTGCGGGAAGATGTATTTTTCTTAGACATGTAATCCCAGCACAGCACATACATTTCTGTCCAGTTACTTAAAAGATGTTTTTTCTGCAATACCAAGACCACTGTCAGAGGGCTTCTTGCTTTGACTGTCCAAGGCTGTATTATCTTCTTGACTGTGATGTGCAAGAAGCAAAGCCAAAGCGTTGTGCTCTGGTGGGACTCTGTCCCTACAGTTGTCCCTCATTTCTGCTGTAAGAAAGCCAAAATGAGCCCTGTTTCACAGGGTGGAGTTGGGGAAGGACTACGCTGTCTTTGTGATTCATGCATATGGAGCATGCTGCTGTCAACTGTTTTTGCAGAATAAAGAAGGATTTTAGATGGGACATGGAATTCTGAGAAGTTTAGGTGGTAGCTGATAAGATGTAGGGTCTGCTCTGCTTCTGGTACAAAGAGGTTTTGATGCTAATGTTTATTTAAATGTGGCCTTAACCCTAAAAGGGAGAGATAAAATGGCTTTCATGCTTCTGTTTCACTGAGAGCTGACTGGCAGAATGGTTTCAGTGCCTGCTTATCTGCTCTGAAGGCTTCATGGCTGGGGAGGCTGCAGAAACAATTCTCCTGTACCCCCTTATTCAGCATTCAGGCAAAACTGTAAGGCAGGCAGATGGTTTTAGCTGCATCTTTGGACACAAGAGGGTTGTGTCTCCGTTTTGCAGATGAGTCATCCCTTTGCTGTTTTGTTGTTGGACTCTAAACAGTGCTCTTGGCTTTGGGCCTGTGTGACCCCAGGTTTTGGATGGCAGAAACAGATAGGGGAGTGCCCTCCACCCCAATGCCAGATTTTATGACAGGTTGAAAATACCTTAGGCCTTTGTCACCTTGTACTTAAGCTGCTGTAATGCAGAGAAAGCTTTGTCTCTCTTGTACCTGATAAGTGTATAAAAACACAAACTGTGTGCTGTGGAAGTTGTGTATTTTAGGGAGCAATGGGAAAAGTAGAAGAGAGGCTTACTCACATCATTGTTTTTCATCTAACTTGTGGGCTAGAGCTCTACTTGGACAAGTGAGTCCTGGGTAAAGATGACTGGCATTGTTTTCAGTAGCGGGTAAGTCAGCAGATGGGTCAGCAGTTTCTTTTAGTTGAGCTGGCTGCCGCAGACTAGTTCTGCAAGCTTGGCACCCGGTCATATTTTCCACAGTATGTGAGGCTAGCTGGTACAGGATTTTTCCTGCTCATCGTGTCAGGATCAGAGGTGCAGATTGGGAAATTGGTTACCCCATTTTTGGCACACGATGTTTTGCCAAACTAGGTTTGTAAGCTTTGCACTTGTGAAAGGAACTCTGATTTCCTAAAAGGAACTTGAATGAAAGTTGGGATTTTATTAAAGACACAGAGGCATATTATTATTCATCTTTCATTGCTTCATCCCTGTGATGTTTCCTGTTTTGCTTCTTGAGATACAGGTGTCATGATGAGGAGCTTCTCAGAAACAGAAGTGGATGATGAGTGGAGATGAAGAAATCATACATTTAAGAAGTTGGCTCAAGTTTCCGTTACAGGCATGGAAAGTTTCTGAGACCAAGCCATGCGAGAAGAACATGAGTAAAGAAGAGGGAGATGTAGACCCAGACTTTCTAGAAGGGATTGCAGGATTTGAGAGGACGCTGCACAAACGTCACGTAGTTTTCTTGCTTATTCATTTACCTGCACCCCTGAACTGTAATACTTTGTTTGCATGTCTGTTTGGAAGTTGAAAAATCCCCTCACATCTGTGTCTTTAATATAATCGTGGCTTCAAGCTTGTTTTAGGAAGAGCAGAACATCGCTGTAGTTTTTATTTGTGGATGAGATAGCTGCTGCTTTGTACTTTAAATCAATTTGGGGGGTTTTTTTGTTGAAACAAACACTGAATATGGAAAAGCTCAGACCATTACAAAATAGGAAGTTAGGCTTTGCTTACGTTTAATAAACAGCCTTTGCATAGAAAGTATGACGACAGGTGCATAGGTAAAAGAAAAAAAAGTAGTGCTAGCCCTGTAATTTGAGTAACCTTACAATGTATTGTTCTTATGGTGTCCTTAGACAGATGCCAGAATCAAATATCAATCAATTTTATCTTTTCTATCTGACTGTTGGTCAGAAAAATGTTCTAGGTAAGATTTCTTGCCAGAGTTGTGGGGTTATAAGTGCAGATTACTTAGCATTGAATTAGGAGAGAGCTTTTTGGAGAGATAGTTTTTTGAACATCTTGGCTGTGCCGTGAAGTATCTCAAAGGAAATACTGGCCATGCAGTCCAACAACTTAATGATGCTGTGAACAGATTTGATTGTAGTAAGTCTCTGATACAAAGTTATTAAGACTTTGATGTATATGTATTTAAAATTTTAAGAGTATATATGTTTTTCTGTTTGAAAGTATTGCTGGTAGTGGCAGGCAAAGAACATCTTTATTTTTCTTATGAACTCCTATCTGGTGTCTTATCCTTAATAAAAGGCTATGGTTATTTTTGTATACTGACTGAATATTTGGCCTTTAAGAGTATGTAATTAGATAGAAGAGTAAAAGCAGTTGTTAAAGGACTATTTTTTTAATGAAAATAGTTTGAAATCATATAATTTTAGTTTCTTCCGAATAGATGTGATTAGTGTGTTGGAAATAGTTTTACAGTGGATATAAAGGGAACAGTTCAGAGACAGTGGCTGAGAATGTGTCCAGCTATTTTTGTAGTTACATTTTTCCAGTTTTATTTTTTTGGTCTCTTCACTTAGATATTTCCATATAATTGAGGCGCTACATCACAATGGGATACAAAAACTATTTGCACTTTATAATATTTAACTTTTAAAATAGGTTTTATTGTATTATTTGATAAGTAAATTGCAATGACTGTGAGAAAATCCTAGCCTATTTTATTACTTTGATAGAAATTTGAATATGGGATAGTATTGTCTGTATCATATAAGAATGTTTTCTTGGATTTTTAGCTGCTGAAACTGAAATCAATAAACTTTAGCTACTGTTGTTGAATGGAACAAGTAAATCTGCACATTTGTTTTCTTCGTGTTACCTGTACCCCTGTGTTCACCTAGTGTTCCTCCCAGCTTTGCTCCTTTCATGGTGTTTGCCCATGAGGCACACTCAGTGTGGGTTCCTGCATGTTCTTGTGGAAGACTTTATTGATGGAGAACTGTGCATTCGAGTTTGTGCAATTAATCTGTTTTCTGAATAAACCTTAGAGAATCTCAGTCAAAACAGAGTCCCAGGATTAGAGTAGCCAATGGATCAGTTTGGAATTTTAAATAGATTTTTCAGTAATTGATGACAGTGTTTTCAGGTAGATGATGGTCTTCTGCACCCCTGAATTTCACATATGATTAGTCCACCAGCGTATCCCAGATGGAAAGTGCATTCGTGAATAATACAGTCCAGGTTCTGGATTACTTTAGAGGATGGAAAATACTTTTTGCTTAACTGAGAAATTTTTAAAACGGAAAAGGGTTATTTTTCTTGTAAAACCATAGTACTTTGGATTTGAAAGAAACAAACTTGTAATGTAGCCCACATTTATTGTAGTCTATTTAGCTATTAGTATTAAATTAAGTGGTTAGATATCTTCATGTCTGCTGAAGTTTTAAAGAAAAAATCAATTTGTGAAAGATATCTGGTTAAAGGCTTGGAGACAGTGTTGATTGAAATATTAAGCCCATTTTAGGAGAAATGTATTCCACTGTTTCAGAGCAACTCTTTTCCTCACATAATTTTATTAATTTGATTTAATTAAATATCTGCTTAATTCAAAGTGGAGAAACTGATTGATAGTTCAAGAAATGGCATAATTAATTTTCCCCATTTTAATTTATGTGTAGAAGAGATGGAAGAGGAAATTATTTATGTGACTTCTGAAGGTCTTGGTGACAAGAGACCATTTTTTTATTAATTATAGATTCCTTGATTACTCCCTTAAAGGAAAAAATACTTTATATTCTTTTTGCCTGTGTATTCAGTGTTCTTTGTTTATATGATTATCTACTTGCTCATTTGTTTTATGGATAACAGTGGGTAAATTTTCCTTATCGGTATGACAGAGATAGACCTTGATCCCCTCCAGATCTTGCAAGAAATGTGCTCTGCATGTTCTTCCATATTTCAGAGGACTCTTGGCATGGTGTGATTGTCATGCGTGGCTGCCATAGACTTAATTTTATTTATTTTTGGGGGTTATTTTCTCCTTTTCTGCTTAATTTTTTCAGCTAATTCTGGAATTTTCACCCTTCCTTGTGGCTCTTCTCACAGTGCTCGTGTCGAGCAGAGAGGTCTGTGTCAGTGCTGGGCCACTCCCATTGTTGGGTTGGTCATTTTCTGCATGGGAGATGCCTAGTCTAGAGAAGTCCCAGCCTGAGCCATGGTGGCCACAGCAGGATCCTGGCATGACGAGCTCTGGTTCTCACACCAGAAGGCAGGGAACAGGGGAGGGCTCCTCATGGAATCCCCTTTGCCACTCCTGACCTCTCAGCAGCATCCATTCTATCTTTTCTCCTCTGGGGCTTCTGAGATGTGTCACTGCCATCATGGTGGCTTAGCTAGGAATGCCTCATCCTGAGGCACACTAGCCACCGGCCCTGTTTGCTGGTGCCAAGTACTCAAATACATTCTGCTGCCTAATAACTTCCTCTTCCCTGCAGCCTGTGTGTCAAGCAGAGAAATTTAAGTTGTTCAAGCTCTTTGGGAGGTTTGGGCAAGATAACAGTCCACGTGTCCTGTTATCTTGCCCAAACCTTTAGGAAGACTCTTTGTGCTCCACTTGGACATTGGCACTGGACCAGTGGGTTTGCTCCCCAGCCTTCCATGAGAGATAAAGCCCAACTTTTCTCAACCTGCTTCATATGACCACACACCCTTAGTAAGTCCTCTTGAGGTGTTTGCTGAACCAAGAGCGCAGCTGTGGGACACTCTTTGGCATGTTGCATTGACAGTGATTTAGTCTGTAGCCCATGTCACGAGTCTGTTGGGCACTTCTTTGCTTCAGTAGTATTGTCAACCTGCGGTGAAGATACCAGAAGGTTAATGCTGCCTGGTAGGTGGAACTCAGGGTATTTGCTTCACCATCATGCTCCTCATGCCTCTAGCAGCAAAGGCTGCAGGAGACAGACGTGGATATTCCATGGACTCAAGAGCAGAGATCGGCAGGCCTTGGCCTTTGGCGGGGCAACGGGCCTGTTAATTGGCAGATGCCATGCTTTGCATGGTCACCAGGCAGCATAAGCACGATCACCAGCCTCCTGTGAAATGAAGCCAAGGTCACAGCTTTCATTGCTGTTTCTCCCTTTATATCTCTATTACTGCAATGCTCATAGGGGAAAAAAAAAAAAAAACCAGCAAAATTTCCATTGCTAGAGTATACTGGCCTCATCTGCTTCCATTTACCTCCATAACCCTGGTTGACACCTCTGTGAGTTGTCCCTCCTCTGTTTGGTGATACCCCTGGTCCTTTCCTCCTTTTGCCATTCACCTAAATCATTTCAGGAGTGCTTAGTCTTCTGTCCTGTGGGCCACACTGATTTTGGAGGTTGGCAGTGAGAGCCAGCCGGTGTGGTTTGGCATATTGATAGCTACTCACTCACTCCAATTCTGTTTGAAGAGGGGGGGGATTGCTGGACTCAAGGGAGCTCCAGCCATCTCTTCTGGCTCAAACAGAAGGCTCCACAGTGGTTGTTCTCTGAAAACCCAAACTGAAATGGAAATGGCAGGCAATCTGAGGCTGGACGTGTCAGGTTTCCTTTATCTGAAAAATTTGCATTGTTGACTTTTGGCAACCACACTCTGGCTTTTCACCAAGGGCATCTTTACATATGCCTCTGAATTTGCAAAATGCATATTTTTGGATTGCCACAGGAGTGTTTCGTGGGCAGTTTTTATGTTCTGTGTAAGGTTGGTACAGGTCCGGTAATATTTCAGGATAACGCTCCTTGAGTTGTCAGCAGTATCCAGGGCTTTTACATGCTCCATGCTCATTGATTCTTTTGGATATGGGTCTGGGGAGGGGAAGATTAAATTCAGGGTGGCTCTGAACAGCGTCTCACCCTTTTCCTTGGTTTTAGTATGAACATGGGTGTGCCCTAGTCTCTGGTCAGTCAGCTGGAATCATGGGCCATCCAAGTCCAGTTCCCAGCATTAACTGGGGCAGTGCTTGAATCAGTGCTGGCCAAAGCCTTGCTCCTTCAGGGTTGCTTTGCTGCCTTTGAACTCCTCCTGGCCTGACATGGGCTTGTGCTGTGGTAGGGGCTGGAGTCAGCGTGGCTCTCCCAGGCCACACAGCACCAGGAGCCTGTGTCATCCTCTGCGCCAGCCTTGGCCTCCAGCAATTCCACTTGTGGGTTCCTCCCTTTCATTTCCCAGGGCTGGCTCACTCAGTAGACAAGTGTGATCTCAAGCAGAGTCACATGCTGTAGCATGGCAGCTCTCCATGCTTGCCTGTGCAAGCCCAGCTCATTCACCTCGACCACTGGGAGTGGAAGTCCCTTGACTAGGGTGGGATGTGCTCTTTGAGAGCCCACAAGCTTGCTGGAAAAAAAATGTTTGGATGACAGGGTGACAGAGTTCAGAGCCATCAAGAAAGCCCATCCAAGGGGTTTGATACTTTAGAGTAGAAGAGTTGCTCCATCCCTGAATGCTAAATGACTTCTTAATTTTAATGTCTACTGCATTAAACTTTCCAGAGTCCCTGAGATGGTTTTCTTTCAGTGAAATATGGATGCATCTCTTTTGGAGATTATCCTGATAGCTAACAGAATGTTTCAGAACTTGCTATCGAATATGCAAAGGCAGATGTGCTTTTATTGGCTCCTTTTAACTTAAACTGCATTTGCAGCTCTCTGCAGAGCAGATGCTCAGGGTTTTGTTGGTATTCATTGAGCTTAACAGAACTACCAGAGCTCCAAGAAGAGGTGCTGTGTTTGGTAGAGCAGGTTTGGTTAAATCTCTGTTAGTCTGAAGGACCTCAGGGCTGATTTCCAGGTAATGATTGGCCTGTGGTGTCCTTCAAGGCTCCCATGCTGGAGATTTTTAGTACATTTTACAGACATTCAGGTTCCAATTCTTATGGGTTTTTATGTTAGAAAATTATACTCATCCCCCATTATTTTCTACTCAAAATGTATGTGTTTTAAAATGTGAATAATCATTTACATGTGTAGCCTTCCAACCTGAATGGCAAAAAAAGCCAGTTACATTCGACATAAAAGTTACCCTTAGTTGCAAAATTAACTTTATTTCAGTGGTCACTGGGAAATGAGAACCTGGGTGTCTTTCAGAAAATAGCTAATGCAGAAATGCAGAACAAAGGGGATTTAAAATTAAATATTTAAATTGACTTGTACTATTACATTATTTAAGCCTGAATATAAGTCTGCCTAGCATGAGTTTGTTGAATCAAACAAGGATCTATCAATTGTGGATTTAACAAAATAAATTACAATTAAAACCAAATTATGATATCTGATCGAGATTGTAATTTATCATTTCTACAAATATTTGATTTGATGGGAACCAAACTGGTGCTGCCATTTCCAAAAACCAAACCTCGTAATTTATTCTGTGGTCTTACAAATTTTCCTTTGCTTGCTTCTTTAGTGGTGTCCCAAATTATAACTCTTGCTAATGGTCAACCTATCTTGGCTTGAATTTTCCCATGCCTGAAGTCCACAATGCTGATGTAGCAAAACAAAGACTTTGAAGATATTTCCTTTTCTCTGTGCTGTTTATTATATCCTTTGCTTTGCGTGTAGACCGAGCTCTGAAGCTTAGGTCAACAAGAAGCCACCGTTGTGGCCAGGCTGGCTCGTGGGAAGCAGCACTCGAATGGTTCCAGTTTGCAGCTCTCCTGGGTCTGAGATGCTTCCCACAGGTCAGGCTGGCAGCCTCTGGGGTTTGAAATTGAGATAGATACCTCTCAAATGACATGTGCCCTGGGCAGTGTTTTTACCTGCACGCTGGTGGTGGTTGCTCTAGGCTGGGGGAACGGTCCTTAGCTTCTCTA